TCCAGGGTGCTCGCCTCGCGAGCGAGGCCAGACAGCAAAAAAAGTGGGGCGCCGCCTTCTCGCCCACGCTCAGAGCCCCGAATCATCAGGGGTAATTCGGGTCAGGGCTAACTCGGGTTCGTTTTTCGGGATTCCGAACCCGACTTGCCCCGGACCCGACTTACCCCGGATAATTCGGGCGTCCAGAGCCCCGAATCATCAGGGGTAACTCGGGTCAGGGCTAACTCGGGTTCGTTTTTCGGGCTTCCGAACCCGACTTACCCCGGACCCGACTTACCCCGGATAGTTCGGGCGCCCAACACGCGGGCGCGCAAGTTGCCCGCGTGGGGTCGCGCGCGGGCGCCTCTCGTGTCCCGTGCGGGTCGTGCCGCGGCGGCGGCCCGCGCGAGCGGCGGCGCGCAGGGCCGCCGCGTCGAGCTCGCGCGAGGCCCGCGGTGTTGTTGTTGAGCGTGGCGCGCTATCGGGGCGGCCGGGCTGCGGGCGCGGAGGCGGGCGGGGAGAGCGGGCCACGCGCAGAGGGGGGGTCAAGTCGGGCCTGTCCTTCCACAGGGGGGATATTCAGAAATAGTCAAACCATGATCCGGGGACGATTTTTTAATGTAATGTTTTGGAGGGCTGTTTTTGAGTATATTTGACTATGCTGCACTCCTCGTCCAAAGCCGCCTGTAGGAGGACAGGAGGGTAGCGGGGGGGGGGGGACGCTTCTTAGAAGCACCCCTGCTTCGTAGAAGGCGCTGGCCTGGTCCATGGTTGTGAGGCCAGGGCCTGCTGAGAAGCATGGGGTGCTTCGACCGACTAGACGTCAGAGTGACTTTCGCCGGAGTGACCTTTGGTGACGAACCAACAACACACACACACACCCATACCCATAGAGGGGTCGGAGAGGGCTATGGGTGCGTGTTGTCGGATGGCCAGGGGGTCCCCGCTCGGACGGGAGCGTTCCCCAGGGTCCGACAACCCGTACCCATACCCATAGCCAGTCCTCCTCCCAACGACCCCCCTGTGGGTATGGGTGTGTGTTGCTCGTTCGTCATTTGGTGCGGGCCAAATGGGGTCCCCCGATCGCCGAACGCGATTCGGTGGTAGCGTCTTGCGCCCTTGTGTTTGGTCCCCCCGCGGCCCCCCCAGAAGCCGCGCACTACAGGTCACTCTTACCAGGGTCACTCTTGCGTGTAGCCGATTCTCGGGGTCGGGCCGGACGAAAGAGGGGGATTGGGCAAGGGGGGGTTACGAAATTTGCTGCATGCAGCTGGTTTCGGCATCACCGAGGGGCCCATTCCTCGATACATAGCCGCCTCCGGCGCCGGGAGGCGCCGGGAGAATCAGCTACGTGAGCTGATTCTCACCCCCCCCCTTTGCTATCCCCCCCCTTTCGCCCGACCCGAGATTCGAAGAAGTCCCCCCCCTTCCCCTGTTACCCCCCCACTGGGCGCCGCCAGGTAAGGTCGCACGTGGGCGCCCGTCGTCTCCCGAGCGGGTCGTGCCGCGGTGGCGGCCCCCGCGCGAGCGGCGGCGTGAGGCCGCCGTTGCGTCGAGCTCGCGCGAAGCCCGTGTTGTTGTGGTTGTTGTTGTTGTTGTTGTTGTTGTTGTTGTTGTTGTTGTTGGTGTTGTTGTGGTTGTGGTTGTTGTTGTTGTTGTGGTTGTGGTTGTTATTGTTGTTGTTGTTGCTGTTGTTGTTGTTATTGTTGTTTGTGTTGCTAATGTTGGTAATGTTGTTGCTGTTGTGGTTGTTGTGGCTGTCGTTGTTGTTGATGTTGTTGTGGTTGGTGTTGCTGCTGTCGTTGTTTGTTGATGATGCTGTTGATGTCGTTGTCGTTGTTGCGGTTGCTGCCTTTGGTTGCTGTTGTTGTCGTTGGTGTCGTTGCTGCTGGTTGTGATGCTGTTAATGGTGCTGTTGTTGTTGCGGTTGTTGGTGTTGTTATTGTTGTTGTTGTTTTCACTGTTGTCGTTCTTTGTTGATGAGTGATCGATGACAATGTTGTTGATGGTGTTGTTGCTGCTGTTGTTACTGGTGTTTGTGTTTGGTGTGGTTGTTGTTGTTGTTGTTGTGGTTGTTGTTGTTGTTGTTGTTGTCGCTGGTGTCATTGTTTTTGATGATGGTGGTGCTGTTGATGTTGTGGTTGTGGTTGTTGCTGGTGGTGGTGTAGTTGTTGCGGTTGTCGCTGTTGTTGTTGATGATGCTGCTGCTGGTGTTCGGATTGCTGTTATTGTGGCTGTAATTGTTGTTGTTGTTGGTGGTGCTATTGCTGTGCTTTTGGTGCTGATGATGCTGTTGTCGTCGTTGTTGCGGTTGATGTTGTTGTAGTTGATTGTGTTTTTGTTGTGGTTGTTGTTGTTGTTGTTGTGGTTGTTGTTGTTGTGGTTGATGTTTGTGTTGTTGTTGTCGTCGTTGCTGTTGTTGTTGCTGTTGCTGTTGTTGTTGCTGCTGCTGTTGTTGTTGCTGTTGTGGTTGTTGTTGGAGCGTGGCGCTCTATCGGGGCGGCCGGGCTGCGGCCCCGCGGCGCCGGGTGGGGCTTCTCGGGGGGCGGTGGGCGGTGGGCGGGGGCCTCGCGGCGAGGGCCGAGGACGTTCGGGCGAGCGCAGCCTCGGCGGGTCCTTGGCCAGTGCGGGCGGCCGTGCGTTGCGGAAGGGCCTCAACTTGGGCGTCCAAGGGGCCCCGGAAACGGCAGGGCCGTCTTTTCACCGTTTCCAAAAAACATGTCCGTTGAAAATGGAAACGGCAAAAAAGCGGCGACCGGAAACGGCAAGAAAACGGCTCCAGGATTGGAACCGGAGCCGGAACCGGTCAAACAACGGCGACGGAACCGGTAAACGGAACCAGTAAAAAAACGGCCCTGTCGTTTCCAGGGCCCGCGCGCCCGCATTATTGTATGCGTTCTGACAGTGCCGCGCCCCGCAAACTGGGGAGCACATGCTCCGTGCTCGGAGCGCGCGCTCCTGCGTGCTGCCAAAATCAGGCGGTTGCAAGCATGGATCAAGGGGGCGTGGATCAGCGACGGGTCCCGCTTCCATGGGGGATCGCGGATTCCCGCCACCGAGCGAGGCGGCACTGGCCGCATTCTGGGGAGGGCACCTCCCCCGATCCATGGATTTGGCGGCCGCGCGCCAACTCCATGGATCGATAGTCCATGTTTGCGCACCCCTGGGATGATGTGCGATGGTCACGTCGGGCATGTGCTTCTGTAGGAGGAAGAGATTTCGAGAGCAGGAGAAAAAGCAGTCTGCGGACGAGATTTCGTGCTCTTTGGAGTCTTTTCGGGGCATTGCAGTCGGCCCGGATTAGTAGGTCGACCCTGCCAGCTCAAGGGCACTTCTGTGTCCTGTGCCTCGCGACCCCTGCCTTCTTGCACTCCTATGGCGATGTGGCCCTCGGAAGGCTCTTGTGTCCTCCCGCGCGTCCTGTCCAAGCAAGGCCGACTGTCCCTGACTCCTGTTTCTGCCAACCTCCGCCTGCGGGAGGACGTGCCCGACCTGACTCAGGAGGGGAAAAAAGCAGACACAATTCATCGTCGATTCCCAGAAGATATGGGGAAAGATGGGAAGTGGGGGGGAAGACAAAAACCCAGAAAACAAATTGAAACATATGGGGCATCGTTTTATTTGTGTGTATTTAGTTGTGTGTCCCAGAGCCCCTTTTACTGACGCCACGTGGGCGAGGCGCAGGCGGGCCCCGACGGGGCCCCCTGGCTCGGCAGCGCCCCGCCGCAAGGGGGCCCTCCGAGCCCAGGCCTCCCAGGCGGGGGTCGGAGGGCCTCGGCGGCGGGCCCCGGGGGGTAGTGCTACGACCACGACCACGACGACGACCACGACCACGACCACGACCACGACCACGACCACGACCACGACGACCACGACGACCACGACCACGACGACCACGACGACCACGACCACGACGAGGACGACGAGGACGACCACGAAGACCACGACGAGGACCACGAGGGCGACGATGACGACGAGGAGAAGGAGGAGGCCTTCACAGAAGGCTCGGAAGTCTCACGGTCTTCGGAGACGGTTTTCTGAGCCTGCCCCGAAAAGGGCAGGAAACCTCGGGAGGTTTCCGAGAAGTCCCGCCGCCTTCTGAGAAGGTATTCTACTTCTCGCTTCCCTCCCTTCGCTCGCCGCCGAGGATCGCGCCGCATCGACGATGCATCGGCGATGCGGCTCGATTTGGAGCCTGATTTTCTGCACGCTTGGCGTCGCCGACGCACCACTGGCGTCGCCGATGGCATCGTCGATGCATCGCCGATGCGGCGCGATCCTCCGATCCCATCTGCTCGGACCTAATCTTGGAGGCCTCTGTTCGAGGACACGAGGGCCGACACTCATCAGGGAAATAACAGATGCCGATGTCACTGATGCCGATCTCCTCCTCCTCCTCCTCCTCCTCCTCCTCTCCTCCTCCTCCTCCTCCTCCTCCTCCTCCTCCTCATCCTCCTCCTCCTCCTCCTCCTCCTCTAACCCTCGGTTCTTGCCTTCATTGGGGGGCCCTGGGAGGCCCTCGCCGCCATGGCTGGACCGTCCTCGACGCTCTGGTTGGAACGCTGCACGGAAGAGGTCCTGGGGAGTAGCGGCACGGGTACACGACGGTCGTTGAAAGTAGGTATTTTGGGATTCCCAGATCCCAATCTGTTTCAAGCGCCTTCCTACTTCAAGAATCGGCACTCTTTTGCTGTGTTTTGTTATTCTCTGGGTGGGCCTGGACCCAATCCACTACATCCGCCTTCCTACCTCACGTTTCTTCCTACTTCCTCCGACCGACGTGTGTACGGATCTTGCTGCCCCCCGACCCCCACACCAGGGTCGGCGATCGAGGAGGCTCGAGGCTGCTCCCTGGGCGAGGGCCTTCCAGGGCTGGAGGGCAGCCCCGCGAAGGGCCGCCGCGTGGCCCACACGCCGCGGCCCCCTGGGCGGCTCCCGAGGGAGTTTGGCTCTCCAGGGGGGCCGGCGGTGCGCGCCCTCTGCGGCCGAGGCGACGGCGCCCGCGCGGCCCCGCCGCGCCCATGCCGGGGTCGCCGCTGCAGCGGGCCGCGGCGGCGGCCGCGGGGGCGCTGGCGGTCGCCCAGCTCCCGCCGCTGGCGGCGCGGCCGCTGTGGGCGCGGGCGCTGCTCTGCGCGCTCGCGGCGTACCTGCCGAGCTACCTGGACGGCGCGGAGTGCCGCGGGGCGCCGCTGCGCAGCGGCGCCTACTCCCTCTGGTTCCGGGCGCTCGCGCGGCGGCTGCTCCGGCGGGCCTTCGACATCCGGGACGCGGTGCTCGAGGATGCCGCGGCGCTGTCCAGGTGCAAGCAGTGCATCCTCGCGGTGCACCCCCACGGCGTGCTCTCCTTGGACCACCTGCTCACGGTGGCGGGCTACGACGCAGGCCTGGAGGCGGCGCTGCCCCAGGCCCGGCGCTGCGCGCTCTCCGCCAGCGTGCTGTTCAGGCTGCCGCTGCTGCGCGAGCACCTCCTGCTGACCGGCTGCGTGGACGCGTCCAGGAAGTCGGCAGACCGCTGCCTCGAGAAGGGCCTGAGTCTGTCGGTGGTCCCCGGCGGCGAGAGGGAGCAGCTCCTCGCCACGAGAGGCCCCGTGGAGCGCCTCGTGCTCCGGCGCCGCCAGGGCTTCGTGAAGCTCGCGCTGCGCCATGGGGTGCCCATCGTCCCGGCGTACTGCTTCGGCGAGGCTCAGCTCTACGACCAGTCGCGCTGGTGCATGGGGCTCCGCTCCTGGGTGCAGAGGACCTTCGGCGTGGCGCTGGTGATGCCGTACGGGCACAGGCAGGCCAGCCACAACTGGGGGAGCTGTGGTCCTCATCCCCCGGGGGGGCCCATCGATTTTGACTCCCCTCTCGATAGATCGTCGATGCGATGGGTTCCCCCAAAGGGGTAAAGACCACAGCTCCCCCAGTTGTGGCTGGTCGGACAGGGGCCTTCCGGGAGTTCCCCACCGCACGCCCGTCTGCACGGTGGTGGGTGCGCCGTTGGACATGCCCAGGATAGAGGGGACGCCGACGCAGGCGCAGGTGGACGAGCATCACGCGCGCTATGTCGCCGAGGTGGAGAGGATATTTGCTCAGCACAAGGCCGCGGCAGGCTACCCCGACGTCCAGCTGCAGCTGCTGTGATCTGGCGCCCCGTCCGCCGTCGCCTCCGAGCGGGCCCGCGCTTCTCGCGATGTGCGGGGCGCGAAAACAGAAATGGGCAGCTGGAGGGAGGGTCCTCCTCCCTCCGCGGGCGTGTCGCGATGGGGGGCGATAAGAGTCAGTATCGCTTGACCGTCTCTTATCCCCGTTCCCATTCCCATCCAGACCCCCACCATCTCAGCACCTCAGTTGGGAAGTATACCCCTCGGAACCCGAAGGAAACGGCTGATATATCCCCATGCAGGGGGGCAAGTCGGCTAGTGGGGCCGCCACGCCGTTGGGGATAGGGGGCGGACAAACGTTGCTCAAGAAGGGCGGGTGTGCTCGAGGACTGCAGGACAAAAGGGGCCCTGCATACTGACCCTGAAGTTCCACGGAAGGTGCACTTTCCCATCGCCCCTCTGTTTGCGAACGGTCGGGCCGAGGGGTAACAATCACGACAGGAAGTTTTTGGCCGTTGGCGGCCTCCCGTGGGCTCTCGATGGGCCTTCGGACCGTCAACAAAAAGATGCAGGATGAAAATCCAGCCCCGGAGAAAGGGTCGGGACTTCTGGGGGCCGCGCACTGAACAGACATCAGGACATCGCATGCCTGGGTTCAGACCGCAGTATAAGATCGAGGTCGCTTCGGGAGGGGTGCCCCGGTGTTCTTCCTACTTGTTGGACGGTTGTTGTGCACTCTGGCGGAGGGCGCCCTCGGATGTTTGCCAGTGTGGCCGGCGGACGCACCCAATCCGGCACACCACTCACACGTGAATTGGGGGAGCTCCACTGGAGGTCCCAGCGGCCGAAGGGCATCACCTTGCACTCGACACTTGCAGCTGCACATGAGCGACACACACACAAACACACGCATACGCACACGCACACGCACACGCACACGCACACGCACACGCACACGCAACACGCAACACGCAACACGCAACACGCAACACGCAACACGCAACACGCAACACGCAACACGCACAACACGCACAACACGCACAACACGCACAACACGCACAACACGCACAACACGCACAACACGCACAACACGCACAACACGCACAACACGCACAACACGCACAACACGCACAACACGCACAACACGCACAACACGCACAACACGCACAACACACAACACACAACACACAACACACAACACACAACACACAACACACAACACACAACACACAACACACAACACACAACACACAACACACAACACACAACACACAACACACACACACACACAACACACAACACACAACACACACACACACACACACACACACACACACACAGCACACAGCACACAGCACACACACACACACACACACACACACAACACACACAACACACACAACACACACAACACACAACAACACACAACACACACAACAACACACAACAACACACAACACACAACACACAACACACCACACAACACACAACACACAACACACAACACACAACACACAACACACAACACACAACACACAACACACAACACACAACACACAACACACAACACACAACCCACAACACACAACACACAACACACAACACACAACACACAACACACAACACACAACACACAACACACAACACACAACACACAACACACAACACACAACACACAACACACAACACACAACACACAACACACAAGACACAAGAGACAAGAGACAAGACACAAGAGACAAGACACAAGAGACAAGACACACGGCACAAGTCACAAGACACACGACACAAGACACAAGACACAAGACACAAGACACAAGACACACGACACAAGACACACGACACAAGACACAAGACACAAGACACAAGACACAAGACACACGACACACGACACAAGACACAAGACACACGACACACGACACACGACACAAGACACAAGACACAAGACACAAGACACAAGACACAAGACACAAGACACAAGACACAAGACACAAGACACACGACACAAGACACAAGACACAAGACACAAGACACACGACACAAGACACAAGACACAAGACACAAGACACAAGACACACGACACAAGACACAATACACAAGACACAAAACACAAGACACACGACACAAGACACAAGACACAAAACACAAGACACAAGACACAAGACACAAGACACAAGACACACGACACAAGACACAAGACACAAGACACAAGCCACAATACACAAGACACAAGACACAAGACACAAGACACAAGACACAAGACACAAGACACAAGACACACGACACAAGACACAAGGCACAAGACACAAGACACAAGACACACGACACAAGACACAAGACACAAGACACAAGACACAAGACACAAGACACACGACACAAGACACACGACACAAGACACAAGACACAAGACACACGACACAAGACACAAGACACACGACACACGACACAAGACACAAGACACAAGACACACGACACAAGACACAAGACACAAGACACAAGACACAAGACACAAGACACAAGACACAAGACACACGACACACGACACAAGACACAAGACACAATACACAAGACACAAGACACAAGACACAAGACACAAGACACAAGACACAAGACACCAGACACCAGACACAAGACACAAGATTCACGACACAAGACTCAAGACACACGACACAAGACACAAGACACAAGACACAAGACACAAGACACAAGACACAAGCCACAAGCCACAAGACACCAGACACCAGACACAAGACACAAGACACAAGACACAAGACACAAGACACAAGACACAAGACACAAGACACACGACACAAGACACAAGACACAAGACACAAGACACAAGACACAAGGCACAAGGCACAAGGCACAATGCACAAGGCACAAGGCACAAGGCACAAGGCACAAGGCACAAGGCATAAGGCACAAGGCACAAGGCACAAGACACAAGGCACACGACACAAGACACAAGACACAAGACACAAGACACACGACACAAGACACAACACACAAGACACACCACACAACACACAAGACACAAGACACAACACACAACACACAACACACAACACACAACACACACCACACAACACACAACACACAACACACAACACACAGCACACAACACACAACACACACCACACAACACACAACACACAACACACAACACACAACACACAACACACAACACACAACACACAACACACAACACACCACACACACACACACACAACACACAACACACAACACACAACACACAACACACAACACACAACACACAACACACAACACACAACACACAACACACACACACACACACACACCAGCACACAACACACAACACACAACACACAACACACAACACACAACACACAACACACAACACACAACACACAACACACAACACAACACACAACACACAACACACAACACACAACACACAACACACAACACACAACCACAACACACAACACACAACACACAACACACAACACACAACACACAACTCACACCACACACCACACACACACACACACAACACACACACACACACACACACCACACACACAACACACAACACACAACACACAACACACACACACACAACACAACACACACACAACACACACACACACAGCACACAACACACAACACACAACACACAACACACAACACACAACACACAACACACAACACACAACACACAGCACACAACAACACACAACACACAACACACAACACACACACACAACACACAGCACCCACACAACACAACACACAACAACACACAACACACACAACACAACACACACACACACAACACACAACACACAACACACAACACACAACACACAACAACACAACACACACACACACAACACCCACAACACACAACACACAACACACAACACACAACACACAACACACAACACACACACACACACATACACACATACACACACATACACACACATACACACACATACACACATACACACACATACACACATACACACACATACACACATACACACACATACACACATACACACATACACACATACACACATACACACATACACACATACACACATACACACATACACACATACACACATACACACACGCACACGCACACACACACGCACACGCACACACAAAAAAAAACACATACACACAAAACACACTCTGTGGGGGAAAAAAACACACTGTGTGTGTTTGTGTGTGTGTGTGTTTTCCCACAGTGTGTGTTTTTGTGTGTGTTTTTCCCCACAGGCATTTCGCCAGGCGTTCGACGTCTTCGTCGGTTCCTGAGGGCTTCTCCTCCGACTCGGGAGGCGCCTCGGCAGCCGCGCCTCGCCGGGAGGCGCCTTCGGGGCTGTGCGGAGCGTGCCGGGCGGCCGCCGGGGGCCCAGGGCATGGCCCGAGAACCCATGGGGACAACCGGGGGAGGGAAGCGGAACACCAACGACACGCTGCCGCTGGGTCAGAGGAGGAAGAGGCTCGGGGGTGGACAGAACCCCCAACAGTGACACGTCGATTAGTGAATTGTCCGTTTTCGGTTCTCGAGAGGGCGCCGGCCGCGGCCGTTATTTTCCAGGCTTGCGCCAGCCAGGTTTGGGCCTCAGGTCGAGCCGCCGCCGCCGAAGGCCCAGGGCATGGCCCGAGAACCCAGGGGACAACCAGGGGAGGGAAGCGGAATACCAACGATCAGGAGGGAAACAAAAACACAGAGGCACAATTCATCGTCGACCCCCAGGAAAAGATGGGAGATTGTGGGAGGTGGGGGGGAGGACAGGAACCCAGAACATATGGGAGAATATGGGGAATCCTTTCATTTGTGTGTATTCATTTGTGTGTCCTGGGGCCCCTTCAAACGACACGCTGCCGCTGGGTCAGAGGAGGAAGAGGCACCAGTGCCGCTGCCCCTGTCTCGGAGGTTGATAGACCTCCTACCCTGACACGTCGATTAGTGAATTGGCCGTTTTCGGTTCGCGAGAGGCGTCGCGGCCTTTGTTTTTGCGGGTCGCGGTCCGTCGGTTTCGGTCCTAGGCCGTTTTCACTAAAAGGAGGTCTATTAAAGGGAGGTTTGTCCACCGCCGATTGTCCTGCTTCCGCCCGGTGGGCCTCGTGGGAGGCCCTCGCTGCCACGGCTGGAACTGCCACGACATGCCGTCCAGAGCGCACCCTGGGAGAGGTCCAGGGAGCAGCGGCATCGGTATCGTTGCCCCCCCGCCCCCCAGCTGGGAGCTCGTCGGTGCGCTGTCCTCTGGCCGAGGGCCCCGCACCTCTGGCGGCAGTGGCGCCGATGGGCTCCCCGCGGCGGCGTGTGCTTCATGCTGCTTTGGCTCCCCGAGGGGGGGGAGTGGCTCACGGGTGGAGCGGCTCCCCGAGGGGGGCCCGTGCGAGCCCTACCCCTCCCCCCCACGATTTCTGAGGGGGAGGGTGGGGTTCACTTGCCCCTGCCCCTGCCCCTCAGAAATCGTGGGGGGTAGGGGCAGGGGGTCGCATGTGGACCCCGAGTCGCCGATTCATAGGCCATCGGGCTTCTCCCGCCCTTGGAGCCTGCGGTCTCGCTAATCCGGAGCCCATCGCCGGTCCCGTCGGCCGTGCATCGCTGCTTCGGGTGCATGGTTGTCCCGCCGAGCCCGTCCCCTCTGTCGCCTGTCGTCCCCCCTGAGGACGTCGCCCTCGTGCAGGCCGCCGCCGAGCCCCAGGTGGACTCAGGAGTCGAAGACAGAATCGAGGGACTCCGCATGGTCGAGGTTCGAGGCTTGAACCTCTGGATGCCTTCCAGCAGCTGCGCCTCGCCGATGGCGTTCTGTGGGTGCTCGCATCATCTAGAACGGCCGCCAGAGACCCGAGTCATGACCCGAACGCCCAGCCGGTTCGGCTGATTCGCTGTCGGCTGCAGTCGGCCGCGTTGTTTTGGGCCGCCTTCAGTTTCCATCGGTTTCGGCTCTGCAATCGGTTCGGCCAGTTTTCGATGGTGCAGTGCCGCCGCGGACGGTTATGAGGAATCGACCACAAAATGACGGGACAAACGTAGATTTTCGGAGGGGCTGGTGCCGGACCGCTCCCGTTGGCGCGCGGAGCGAGCCAGGGGCGGCGCTGGCAGCGATGCCACAGACTCCCGAGATGTTGTATGCTGCGTAGCTTCTGCTGCTCTTCCAGGGAGTGGAGCAGCCGCCGCAGCTGGCCAGCCCCCCCAGCCGCACAGCGAGTCTTCTGGGCCGCGACGGCGCTGCGCGCACGAGGCAGCATGCAGTCTTCACGGGGCCCGCCCGGGCGGGCGGCAGTGACTCGACGATCGGCTACTTGTGCTGCCTCGTCTCGTGCTTGGGCTTTGGCAGCAACTACCTGTTCGTGAAGCAGGTCGACGTGAAAGACGGGATGCTCTTCACTCTGTGTCTCTCCTTCGGCGTCCTGTGCGTCGGTGCCCTGCAGTGGCTGAGCTCTGGGATGTATGCCTTTGAGCCGTTTGCGATGCTGGGCGGCACGTTGTGGGCTATCGGCAATCTGTGCGTGCCCTTCATCATCCAGCACTGCGGCCTCGGGATAGGACAGCTGGTGTGGAGCGTCACGAACATGCTCACTGGTTGGGCCTCGGGGACGTTTGGGATCCTCGGGAAGGAGAAAGACTTCGTCGCTCATCCGAGCCTGAATTTCGCCGGTGTAGCCATGGCCATAATGTCGCTGGGCTTGTTCAAGTTCATAAAGGACACGTCCAGCGACAATTCTGAGAAAGTGGGCCTCATCAGTGGCGCGTCCAGCCAGTCTGCTAGAGGGTTTGCGATGGGCTTCGCCGTCGCTCTTGTGTGTGGCGCCTTCTTTGGCTCCAATCTTGACGTTTCGCGTATCCGCACCAGCCCATCCAGAAACGATGCCCAGGCGAGTTGCCTTGATCAGGGAAGCGGAGGAGCATGCAGCGGATCAAAAGCTGGGGAAGCCGTTAAGCTGAAGTCTTGGATCAGCCTGCGCAGACCCAGAAGCGAAACGTAGGCGCCTTCGCGGACCTGCCGAATGAGGAAAGGCGGGGACGAAGGACAATTGGGATGAGGGAGAGCGACAGGAGCAGGAGGAGCAGGAAAAGCAGGAGGAGCAGGAGGAGGAGGAGGAGGAGGAGGAGGAGGAGGAGGAGGAGGAGGGAGGAGGAGGGAGGAGGAGGAGGAGGAGGGAGGAGGAGGAGGAGGGGGAGGAGGAGAGAGGAGGAGGAGGAGTTGGAGTTGGAGGAGTAGGAGGAGGAGGAGGAGGAGGAGGAGAGGAAGAGGAGAATGGAGGCGGAGGAGGAGGAGGAGGAGGAGGAGGAGGAGGAGAAGAAGAGGAGAGGAGGAGGAGAGGGGGAGGGGAGAGGGGAGGGGGAGGGGGAGGGGGAGGGGCAGGGGGGGGGAGGAGGAGGAGGAGGAGGAGGAGGAGGAGGAGGAGGAGGCGGAAGAGGAGGAGGGAGGAGGAGGACGGAGGAGGAGGGGGAGGAGGAGTAGGAGAGGAGGAGGAGGAGGAGGCAGGAGGCCGGAAGGAGGGCGAGGAGGAGGATGAGGAGGCCGGAGAGGCGGAGGAGCGGAGGAAGGAGGGAGGAGGAGGAGGAGGAGGAGGAGGGAGGAGTAGAGGGGAAGGAGGGAGGAGGAGGAGATGAGGAGGAGGAGGAGGAGGAGGAGGAGGACGAGAGGAGGGGGGAGGAGGAGGGGAGAGGAGGAGGAGGGAGGAGGAGGAGGAAGGAGGGGAGGAGAGGAGGAGGAGGAGGCGAGGCGGAGGCGGCGGCTGAGGCGGAGGCGGAGGCGGAGGAGGAGAGGAGGAGGAGGAGGAGGAGGAGAGGAGGAGGAGGAGGAGGAGAGGAGGAGAGGAGGAGGAGGAGGAGGGGAGGAGGAGGAGGAGGAGAGGAGGAGGAGGAGGAGGAGGAGGAGAGGAGGAGGAGAGGAGGAGGGAGGAGGAGGAGGAGGAGGAGGAGGGGAGGGGGAGGGGAAGGGGGAGGGGGGGGGGGGGGGGGGGGGGGGGGGGAAGACAGAAAACAGGGGGAGGGGGAGGGGGGAGGGGGAGGGGAGGAAAGAGGGAGGAGGAGGAGGAGGATGAGGAGGAGGAGGAGGAGGAGAGGAGGAGGAGGAGGAGGAGGGGGAGGAGGAAGAGGAGGAGGAGGAGGAGGAGGAGGAGGGCAAGGGGGAGAAAGGGAATGGGGGAGGCCAGGGCCTGGAAGGGCGGGGGTAGGGGCGGTGGGGAGGGGCGCGGTGGGACGACGGACGACGATCCATCCCCAGGAGGAGATCCTCAAGGTCTCCCCCTCGTGGATGCTCGGTCTGGACGTGGCGTTCCGCGAGCTGCTCAGCTTCCATATGGAAGCCGTGGGCCGCCAGGCGGGACGACCACGGACAACCACGAGCGACGACGACGACGACGACGGCGACAGCGGCCGAGCGAACGGCGCGACGCGACCGATCCGAGAGGTGGTCGAGCGCCCCGCGGACCACGTGGCCCTGGGGCTGAAGACCTGCCTCCAAGCCGTGGTCACTTCGCTCGACGACAAGCGCCACTTGGACCGTGGGGCGCGGGCGCGGGGGTGGGAGGGCCCCCCCCCCTCCTTGGTCCGCCAAGGCGTCGGCGTCGCCCCGTCGTCGGCGTCGCCCCGTCGTCGTCGGTGGCGGCAGCAGCAGTGCCGCCGCCGTCGCCGTCCGTGGCCGCGCCGTCGCCGCCCTCCCGCGCCTCCGCCCTCCCCCCGCCGCCGTGCGAGGACACGGCGGCCATGAAGGAGGCCAAGACGGAGCGCAACTTCCAGTCCTTCCTCAGGGCTGCGGAGAAGGAGGACGCCGCGCGCCCTTCGCTACCCCCCGACCCTTCCGCCCCTATCCAATATGGCGGCGCGCGCGCGAGGGCCCGCGCTGTGGCCAGCGCCGTGTCGCGCCGCGTGCCGCGTTGCGCCGCGCCGTGCCGTGCGCGCGCGCCGCCCCGCCACGTGCCGCGCGGCGCCGCGCCGTGTGCGCGCGCGTGCGGGGCTCGTCTGCGTCTGCGCGGTCAGGCGCCCGCGCCGAGCGAAGTGTCGTTCGGCGTGCGGCCCGAGGGGCCGCCGCGCTGCGCCGCGCACGGCGGCGCCACTGCTGGCGTGCCCTCTCAGAGCCGTTGCCCTTCTCGACGTCCAAGCGCGCGACCTGAGAGGGGGCCGACGCTATGGTGAGCGTTGGGGGGGGCGGCGGCGGCGCGGGGCGCCGGACGCAGGCGCGCGAACCTAGCTCGTCCGCCCCCCCCCCCCGCGCGCACGCACGCACGCACGCGCGCGCGCGCGCACGCTCACGCGAGCACGCGCGCAGCGCACGCACGCGCGAACGCGGGTCGCGCTGCGCACGCGCCACGCGCGACGCGGGCACGGCACGCACGCGCGCCGCCCGCAACGGCGCGCACGCACGCACGCGCGCGCACGCACGCACGCGCGCACGCACGCGCGGCATGCGCGCGCGCACGCGGCGCACGCACGCACGCGCGCACGCGCGCACGCACGCCACGCGCCGCGCGCACGCACGCACACGCCACACACACACGCACGCGCGCACCGCGCACAACGCGCAACGCACGCACGCACGCCACGCACGCGCGCACGCACGCCGCACGGCAGTGGCACCACCATGGGCACCACAGCACGCTACGCACGATGACTCCAAGCAAAAAGCAAAAAGTGAGAACCTGTCGACCGTGGCCGCGCGCCTGAGGCGGACAGGAAGGTCTTCGTCGAGCCTGAGGCCTCGGGCGGCCGACGAACGCGGGTGGTCTTTCTGATGGTGGCAGAAGCTGGTCACTGGAGGATTGCGGGCGGTGTCCTGACGGACCCTTGTGGGCGCCCGTGGGCCCGCGAGTGGGCCCTGGTGCGCTCCTGGGGGCGGGCCCCTCCCCCCCCCCCCCCTCGCCGAAGTAAAGGCCGCGCCCCCGGTCACGGCCGCCCGACAGGCGCCTGGGCGAGAAGCGCCCTCGTGGGTCTCCGCCTCTTTCAGGGGGGGGCCAGGCGCTCGCGACGACCTACGTGGTCGTGGCGTTGGCCCTCAACGGGTTCACGGGCCGCTGCAAGGAGCGGCGGACGGGTGGTGCTCGGGCGGGGCGGCGGACGAAGCGACGGGCGGACGGCGCTGGGGCGGCGCGACGGGCGGGCGTTTCTCGGGCGGGGCAGCGGACGGACGGGGCGAGGGGTGGGGCGACGGACGGGCGGTGCTCGGGCGGGGCGGCGGGCGGGCGGTGCTCGGACGGGTCGACGGACGAACGGAGCGACGGACGGGCGGTGCTCGGGCGGGGCGGCGGCCGGGCGGTGCTCGGGCGGCGCGACGGACGGACGGCGTTCGGGCGGGCGGTATTCGGACGGACGGCGCTTGGGCGGCGCGACGGACGGACGGTTCTCAGGCGAGGCGACGGATGGACGGAGCGACGGTCGGACGGCAATCGGGCGGAGCGACGGGCGGGCGGTGTTGGGGCGGGGCGACGGGCGGGCGGTATTCGGACGGACGGACGGAGCGACGGACGGACGGTGCCCAGACGGAGCGACGAACGGAGCGACGGACCCCAGCGAAACTCGTCGGGCGCCTTGTCGTCGGCGCCGCGCGTCTCCCAGGAGTGGTCCGTGATGACCGCCGCGGCCATTCAGGAGCAGCTGGCGAAGCGCGACTTCGCCATCTGCCGCGAGCGCGGGCGGAGGGGGAAACAGCGCGGGGCGGGCGCGATGGGGGGGGGTGCGCGGTGTTGCTGGAACGCATGGCCGTGGGGCGGCCGCAGCGAGGGGGGCGGCGGCGGGGG